ACAATGTGGCAATATCAAATGTTATGACAACCCATCTCATTTGACAGACACTTGACACTTAAACTTGCGCGTTATTTATTTATTTTTTTGATTTCCGAACCGTTGAACCGAACCCAATCATATTGAAGTTGGCAAAAACTTTTAAAAAGGTAGTTCGACTTCAGTGGTGACTTCAAGTTTTCAGAGTTGCACTCGCCACAATAAGACAGTAGGATCGAATTTAGCAAATATGCACAAAGTTTTTGAAAGAAAAACTGTATCTCTCTAAATCAATACTCTTTCGAATATTTTAGTCACTGTATTGCGAGGTTGCGGCCGCTGTGGTGTAGTGGTAAGCAGTGCGCGTTTCCACTCCGCCGGGCCTGGGTTCAAGCCCTGGTCAAAGCAACATAGCAAAAAATGTAGAAAAAAGATTTTTTCTTAACAGCGGTCGCCCCTCGGCAGGCAATGGCAAACCTCCGAGTGTATTTCTGCCATGAAAAACAGAGTTGGCGTACAACTTTGTATGACAACATCAAGGCGCACGCCACAAATCGGAGGAGAAGCTCGGCCAAACACTAACATGTGTGTAAGCGCCAATCTATTATTATTATTATTATTATTGCGAGGTGCAATAATATGATCACGTACTGTGCAAGCCTAAAATAGATTAACATACAATTAATATTATTGTTGCGAAAATATCAGTTACGATTATTTATTCATTTATTAGAAGCAGCAGAGAATTAATATATGATTGCATGATTTATGACTACGATTTGTTCCAACGTTTAAGTACAAAGGTATGCATGTATGTAGGTACACTTGTACATACATATGTATTGGGGTGTTCGGTTAAAACCTCGGTTTACTAGTTATTCAAAAAAACTACGATTTGAAAAAAAATTGGTTCCTAACTTTGAAATTAAGAAAAACAGAATAAACCAGAAATACTCTTCACATGTGTACATGAGTAAATGGAACATAAATTTTAGAGTACTAAAAAAGATAGGAAGAAAAAAAGAGAACATCATAAATTTGAATAACTGAGCAATGTTACTCAACAGTGCTCTGCTACATAAAACACTGTTCCGCTTTTCCAAAACACTTGAGTATATTGATTGAATTCAGCAGTATTTGAACATGATACAAAAAAGAAGGTAGTTCCATTTAATGACATTCGTTGTTGTTGCTAACCATTTGACTTTTAATAAAATTATGACATTTCATAAAATTCATGCTACCTGATCACCAGAGATAATATTTTTTTTTTTTTGTAAAAGTAAACCAAAATGTATGAAAATGAGTGAAGTTTAGTGAAGTTATTGAACATATATGAGATAAATTTTGTGTAAATTAGCCAAATAAAAAAAATGAGCTGTGTGTGCCCAAACTGTGAAAATTCGGTACATACATGTAAAGGATCTGGGGTTAAGTTTTTTACGTTTCCTAAGCTACAGTTCGTGCGAAAACAGTGGCTGGAAGCGTGTAACATACACGAAGAAAATTTACCCAGATTTCCATTTGTGTGTTCAATACATTTTGCATCTTCTGATATCGGTATGAGCGGAAAGAAGGCAGTGCTTTCGAAAAGTGCAGTGCCGCAGTGTACAAGGTAAAAAAACTTTAAAGATATGGATTATTTAAATGCTTTTTTTCAGGATGCAACTGGACGAAAGCTTTGGGAGTGAGACATATTTCGAAGAGTATTTGGAGCGTTTGGAGAGGTAGGTCCTTTGATTTCATACATAAGTTTGATGTTCCTATGCGATTAAATCTATTACTTTTCAGACAAGTTTTTTGCATACATTGGAAATTTTGAATTCAAATTTTGTTGAAATTAATGGTGATTCGCTAACCACAAAGCCAAAATTTTTGCAAAATCTGATGAGAAATTTAAAAGTAAATTTGGACCAAAATATTATAAAAAGATTTTATTTGGGAAGAACATTCTTTAGAATTCGATTTTTAAATCGCAAGATTAAACAAACGAAAATTGTATATCAAAATAAGAAAATGAAAAAAATAACAACATAATGCACTAATAGTTTTTATTATAAAATAAAAAGAATAATTACAATGTAACAGTTTACATTTTATATATTTTTAATAAAAGAGGGGCAAACCACGTAAGTAAAAAAATATCAAGTACTGATTATGAGTTTTGATTTGAAATATTCTCACATTGGTAAAAATATGGGAAAGAAAATACTCCGATGTATTGTTTTAATATTATCAAAGTGGCAAGGCCGTTGATAATACTGACAATTTATGAAACTTCAAACAATTTTATTTTCCGTCAAAAGTTGTTTATTGAAACTACCTTCTTTTTTGTATCATGGTATTTGAAAACTTCATAGGAAGTATACGAATACTTATGAAGTTTTTTCTTTCAAAATGTTATCATTTAACATAATGTTAAGAAAATTCATAAATTTTATTTTCATTGTCGAATTTGAATCGTTGAAGAAAGGGGGCTTATTTTATTGTTTCGCGCAACTAGGGTTTAGCTAACATTTTGCATTGTGTATCATCTCGTTCGTGTGATCCGCAGAAAAATTATCTTAAAGAAGTGAGTAAAATATAAAAGAAAAATGTTTTAATTATAAACGAATATTGATAAAAATGACACAGGTTTACAAAAAAAGTGTATGCATATTAAACCAAACCCTATGTTATTCGACAGGCTGAATGCGAATCCGAGGTCCGTTAGCCTCTATCACGTCAGGTTCGTGGTCAGTTGAACGTCAAGCAGGGAAAAATGCATTGAATAAACCTGAAAATTCATATATGTGGGTTTTAGAACCCGAATCAGAGGTTCGTTAACCTCCATAGTGTCAGGTTCGAGGTCAGTTGAGGGTCAAATAGGACAAAAAATTTATTCAATTAAAATAATGTTTTTTTTTTGTTTTAGTTGTCGCTGAATTCGAATATGGGGGTCCCTTGATTCCTCAAGGTTATCTATACGAATTTATTGAACTTCCAGGTTTATTCAATGAATTTTTCCCTACTTGGCCTTCAACTGACCACAAATTGACGTGGTGGAGGCTGACGGGTTTCGGATTCGCATTCAGCGTGTCAAATAACATAGGGATATATAGGTTTGGTTTAATATGCATACACTTTTTTTCTAAACCTGTGTTATTAAGCTAACACCATTAGATTTAGCATCAGCAATGGAAACTGAAACGCCTACCATCCAAAATCCCACCAATGCGCAAATTAAAACAAAAATTTCAAACGGAGAATATAAATTGGTACAAAGGCAAGGTAGAAGCAGGGTGTGGGAGTTTTACGCAGGAATTCAAAATGAAGACGGACAAGAAATCGACAATATAGTGGCATGCAAAAGGTGTAACAGCGTTCTAAAACTCAACGACAAAAGCACGTCAAATTGGTTGAAGCACAAATGCTATCTCATTTCTAGTTCAGATAGAGATAGACATGTAGAAATACAAGTAGATAACGAGTCCAAAAAAAAATGTGTACGCGTTGTAACACAGTGGGCAATTGAGAACTGCAGATCTTTTAAAATTATATCTGATTCGGGACTGCATAAATTCGCATCATTTTTGATCGCAGTTGGTGCAAAATATGGTGAACACGTCAATTTGGAGCATTTGTTGCCTCACCCAACAACACTGTCCCGAAATGTAAAAAAACTTTATGATAAACATTTTAGTCAGGTAAAAAGGGAACTTAGTGAGGTTAACAACAACGGGTTAGGGTTAACCACGGATTTATGGACAGATACCTATCTGAAAAAAAATTATTTAGCCGTGACTGTTCACTTTGTTCGGGATGGTGTATTAAAAAGCAGACTTCTTGGGCTTAAATCAATGGAAGGTGACAAAAGTACTGGAAAATATTTAAATATATCTTAGCATAGGTGTAAATATAAATATAAAAATAAATAAAAATATAAATATAAATATAAATATAAATATAAATATAAATATAAATATAAATATAAATGTAAATATAAATATAAATATAAATATAAATATAAATATAAATATAAATATAAATATAAATATAAAAGTAAATATAAATACACAAATACAAATAAAAATATAAATATAAATACACAAATACAAGTAAAAATATATGAGTTTAATACGTATGTTTAAAATTTTTTTACAGGTATCAACATTAAAATGAAAGTATTGAAAATTATGCAAGACTTCAGTTGCGAACTTAATGACAAAGTTATTATCGTAACTGACAGAGGCACCAATATGGTGTCAGCGTTTTGTTCAAGCAACCATATTTTTTGCATAAACCATTTGTTAAATAATACAGTGGAAAAATCAACGAAAGAAACGCCAGAAGTCTTTGAACTCAGCAAAATATGTACTAAGCTCGTTAAATATTTTAAGAAATCAGGAATTAATTCGAAGCTGCATTCTACATTAAAAAGTTTTTCCCCAACTCGTTGGAACACCATATTTTATCTTATGAGTTCAATTGAAAAGAATTGGGGTGATATAACATCAATTCTTCAGCAAAATAACGAAATGCACAGAATCCACAATCTTAATTTGAGTTACTTGAAGGCCATTGTAAAGATTTTGAGTGCATTTGAAGAAACCTCTAAAAAATTAGAGGGTGAAAACTATGCAACAATGCACTGGGTACTAATATATGTTCATCGTTTAAAAAAAATGTGTAGTATTAATAACGAGGACACTGATATCATTAAACGTTTTAAAGAAAAATTGAGCTACTACTTAAGTGCGATTGTTGAAAAAAATATTAACATTTTGCATAAAATAGCATTTTTCCTTTTTCCACCAACAAACAAATTAAAACAATTCTCTGAAGAAGAAAAAATTATGATAAAAAGTGAACTAAAAATAATAATGGGAAAATTTTTAAACAACTCAGCCGAAGGCGACAACATAATCTCTACACATGGAATATCGCTTTCAAATTCAGAACTTCTGTCCGACTTTTTGGAAGAGACCACATTATTAAATAACAGCGACAGAGTTGAAAATGAAGTCCACAAATACCAGTAGTGCGATTCCCATTTTTCTTAACGACAAATTTCGTATCGTTAGCTAACGGTTCCGACAAGTTTCGTTAAGTGCTATTCCCAAACACACTTTTAGCGAATATTGTCGGTAGGTTTGACAGTTGCCTAACGAAATTTGTTGATAGCCTAGCTACGAATATTTTGCCGTTGAAAAGCCTAACGATAAAATTGGTTTAAGTTTTTATTGAGAAAAATTAGGCAAAATTCATCGGTAAGCAAACTATTATAATAAAAACTTATAAATTCGTTTATAAAAAATACAACTTTTTAGAAAACGACAATGGCGTTCCAGTTTCTTGGATACGATGCGGAAATGGCCCAACAACGACAAGGAGCAAGGAGTTTTGCAGCAGAACGCGCTCTACTAAGAGAAGTGGACAGCCCCTTTGATTTGGACGAGGGCCAATTTAAAAGGTTATACCGGCTGACCCCCAATCTTGTTTATGAAATCATAGACAAAATTGGCAGTCGTCTTGAAAGAAAATATGTATCAGCATTATCGGCTGAAAAACAGGTAAGAGATCTCAAACTTCTTGATCATCAAACAAAGGCCATCAATTTAAAAAGGGAATTCGTCGATTTTCAGGTGCTTGCAGCGCTTCGTTTTTATGCGACCGGCTGCTACCAACGGCCAGTGGGAGAGCAATGGGGACTCTCAATGAGTCAGTCTTCCATTAGTCGTTCAATTCATAGGGTAACTGATGCCATAAATGAAACTATGTTTATGGAAAACGTACGTTACCCGATGACGGTAGTTGAACGACAGGTTGCCCGAAGTATTTTTTCAGCAGCGCGTGAGCCTTTTGATGGCGCTATTGGTGCAATTGATTGCACGCACATAGCAGTTATCGGGCCAAAAGATCATGAGGAGGCATACATTAACCATCACGGCTATCACTCGATAAACGTTCAAATGGTAAGAAATACATACATACGTATCTAAATAAATATTTGTATTTCTGTATGCTCGTTTTTTCGCTTATTGGATCCCAGCTTTTTAAGACAGTGGTTGTTTTTTTTACAGGTGTGTGATCCGAACCTCAAAATTTTGAGTGTAAATGCGAGATTTCCCGGTGCACGTCATGATGCATATATATGGAATGCATCCGCTGTTCGGAGAGCAATGAAGCGAGCGTATGATCGGGGAGACCATAGCACATTTTTAATAGGTATTGTTCTTTAGAAAATTTACGAAATTTATTTTGATTTATAATATCTTACAGGAGACTCGGGTTACCCATTAGAGCCATGGCTGATGACACCTCTATCAAACCAGAGAGAAGGTACACCGCAATTTCGATACAATGAGGCTTTATGTAAAGCAAGGAACTGTGTCGAACGACTATTTGGAGTTTTGAAGGGAACATGGCGATGCCTTTCGAAGCAGCGAGTACTTATGTACGAGCCAGGCTTCGCTGGCAGGATTGTAAACTCCTGCGCAGCTCTGCATAATATGCGACTCAACACAGTTGAAAACAACAGCGATATACAAAGTGAAGATCGAATTGTGGAAGCAGTTTTGGAAGAAGATTGGGAAGAATCCATTCACCCATCAGCTCTCGCCAAGAGAATGCAAGAGCGCCTTATAGCTGCTAAATTTACTTAAAAAAAATCAACTAATAAATATTTATCACATACATACAAACATACATATGTGCTTTTTATTATTACATTTTATTTATTACACCACTTAGGCAAAGGTTTTGATAGTTGATCTTGCTTAATTGCGGCATTCTAAATTCAATGGATTCTCCCGTTCTATCAGATTGGCTCCAGTTTTCGAGATAACTGTACTTGAAAATTTGCTTCAATTGTTTCTAATTAACACTTAGTGTTTGTTATTTAAAAAAAATTTTGCACGTGACTATTTTTTATAGTGAATTTAATATTAAAAAACAGTCATGAGCAAAGTTTTAGTAAAATAACTTTAAAACTCAGGGAGTTATTTATAAAAAAAGTTGAAATTTAAGCAAATTTTCAAGTGCCGTTATCTCGAAAGCTGGAGCCAATCTGATAGAACGGGAGAATCCATTGAATTTAGAATGTCTCAATGAAGTAACTATTAAAACCTTGGCTCAAAAAAAGTTCAAAATTCGAGAACAGTATTATTAACCAGCAGCTTAACAGAACTTGTTAAATCTTCCAAGGCGTTTGCTACGCGCACAAAGGCCTGGGCTTGTAGAAGCATGGCTTCAACCTGCTGTTTTGCTGACTCAGCTTGCACTTTGGCGGCTTCAGCCTGCATCTAAAGTAAAAAGACGAAATATAAGGCAAAAATTAAGATAAGGCAACTTATACTTACCATCATAGCATCTGCCTGCTGCTTTGCTACTTTAGCGAAAATCTCCCGTGTACTTTCCATTACGGACTTTCGCCTCGTCGAAGCATTTTTGGTTCCTGTCGATTGAGTAGCCTCGACGGGAATAGGAGCTGCTTCTGCTATTGAAACCACAGGGTAATCAACCAGCACGGATGCGTCTCCGTTCTCAAGAGAAATTTGCAGACTCTATAATTATATACATATATGTATGTATGTATGAACATATCGCACATTTGCTGGAAGTGTCAATCAAAAAAAAAAAAATAAATAAAAAACTCGAGAAAAACAGCTTTAAAGTTTTGAATTTACATATACATATGTACTCCCATAGTAAAAATCAATGCATATTTTGTTCTACCGGTAATCGATATAGCCGTGAAATTTTTACACAACATAGAAGAAAAGGTAGCGATTATTTCTGCATACTTAAGACGATCTTTGTTTCTTTTTTATTATGACACTATTGAAGTAAATGAGCGATATGTACATAAATACGTATGTATGTATACGAAATTGAATGGTTTTTTTAATACGTACAATAATAATACGCGTAACAATAATCAAATTTTCTTTCAAATATTAAATGTCAAACGTCAATATTGCCATATTTATCTTTGCAATTAACGAAAATCGTCGTAAACTTCTTTACCGACATGCCTAACGAATTCTGTCGTTAAGTGTGTTTTTGAGAATAGCCTATTCGCTACTGCAAGCTACAAACGTCGTTCATTATCAATAACGAATATCGGTCGTTAGGAAAAATGGGAATCGCACTACAGATCATGGAAGTACACTTTAATGATAGTTTTGACGTTCTGCAGTGGTGGAATATGCATAGAATACAGTTACCCATTTTATATAAAGTGAGTTGTCATCTGTTAGGTACCCCTGCAAGTAGCGCTCCATCAGAGCGATTTTTTTCTTTAGCCAGAAATTTAATTTCAGAAAAAAGGAGTACTATCGGGATAAATTCAATAATTGTCGACCAAATCATGTTCTTGAATTATAATATTGGGGAAAATAATATTATCAATGAAGTTGAAAGCTTGATTGAATAGTTGAAGTACAAATAGCCTAAGTTTTTTTTATTTAGAAAAAAGTATGTACATACAACCTTAGTCAATAGTATTAGGCACCCAATAACAACCAAAAAAGAACTCCAATAGACATACATATATACAATGACTTTTTTCGTTTTCCAAACTGAAGTATGTGTTATTTATTAGTAAATTATTACAATATTAAGAAATTAATAACAAAATCATAAATATTTGAACAGTCCACACTTTAAATTAATTCAAAGATTAACCGTTATCAAAATTTGAACTTTTTAATCAGTTTATAAAACTTTTAGGGTTCTATACTTGTGGTAAATTGCAGTAAAATAAAGTTGCTGCTAGTGGTACAATAAGTACACTTGCAAAAACCATCAGACATTTATCCAAATACAATTATACAAGAATTAACCTATTATTAAAAATCAACACGAATTCTTAGACGCAGCAAATATGGACTTTATTTCACTACAATTTATTGGGGTATAAAACCCTAAAAGTTTTATAAACTGATTCAAAAATTAAAATTTTGATAAGGGTTAATCTACGTCCTTTCGATTAAATTAAATTGTTCAAATATTAATGACTTTGTTATTAATTTCTTAATATTTTAATAATTTACTAATAAATAACCCATACTTCACTTTGGAAAACGAAAAAAAGTAATTGTATATACATATTGGAGTTCCTTTTTGAGTGTTCCTTGGTGCCTAATACTATATAGTGCTCAGATTCCCGATCGAACGACAGTATTAAATAGTAAATATGATATTATAATGACATAATTACACCAAAAATTTGTTTAATGACATTCACTTTACATATAAAAAAATTTCAAAACCAACTTTGTGTGTGATTCTAGCAATCGATCGAAAGTTGTATTATCTATTTTTAATTTCCTATGAACTATGCATATATAAATAATTTAGTTCCTTAAAGATGTACTTTCCCTTAAAAACTATAAATAATTAACCTGTCATTACTTATTGAAAATGTATTACTTATCATTTTGTATATGAAAGCAGACACTTTAAATAAATTTATATATATACATAATACTTATATTATCAATAAACTGAATTTTGTTCTAATTATTAAAACGAAACGTCTCCTTTTATTTCACCGGAAATATTAGTGCGATTCATGAGACGACGCAATATGACATTTTTGCCGAAATTATTTTTTGCAACATCATTTGTATTTGACTTTTGCTAGTGTGCAATGATTCCTCTTTCTCCCGGTATATCACATGCCGATTCATGTGCATCCTTTCTAGCACAGAATCGTTTTTAGCTGCAACAACAGCAGTTAGTGGACGATATTTATCTTTGTATAGGCGGTGGCACGCCCCCTTTTCCAATAACGTAATTTTCCCTTCGAAACTTTGGGTTTGTCTTCATATATCACTCAACCAAATTCCAACGCTCTATCGCAAATACGCACGCGCCCTTGATATATCGAATTTGTTATTGGCCTATGACCATCCTTGGAAGGTGAAGCAGTTTGGTAAAAAATTACGTTTCTTCTTTAACAGGTCATCCGCAGATAACCCATATGGAATGCTTATTCATCTCATATTTTAAAACGCTCCTTCGAGGTGTTGCTGTGGGAGTCCCTTTTGTCTCTCGCTCGGCATTGGGCTAGCTGGGTATTAGCCTTGATAATACCCTACATTGTTTTTCAATGTCTGTTAACATTATGTAGTATTTATTAAACGAAAACTTCCAAAAATACTCAAAAAATACTTGTGAAGGAACATATTTTTTGTGGAAGTTTAGCACCATAGTACTGCTTGTTTATGTTTTTTTTTTTTTCGGAACATATTTTGTTTGAGTACTTTTTTCATGTATACAGTGCTCAAAATTTTCACTTCTCTTCCTTCCATGCCCTCTTTGTTAAAGTATTACATATTTGAAAAAAACTTCACAGTGAAGCAAACTGAATTCCGATGCAGACCTTTAATACGTACATACATATCGATGGTCCTGTGCAATAAATTAAAGCTATCTAAAACAAAAATTTATAATTATGTGTTCCGCCAATGGCATTTGAACTCGGACACTCCTGCCAGCACAACAAATAGTAGCAAACATCAGCTACAGCCACGACATGCAAATGTAATTTCAAATGTTCACTTTGGGCGATTGCACTATGGGAAAAAATCGATTTTTTTGGCACAAAGTCTAAATATTAAGATATCAGCCCAAAATCTGTTTTTTTTTATATATATGTACGTGTTATAGAGTTTTGAGGTGACCTAACAATTTTCGTCTTGAAATTTGTTTCCCAAACGTTGTACTTCTGAAAAGAGTTATCACTCTGTAAAAAGTTTTATTTCTCGATTCCCGCGCATGGCTAAATACGCATTTCACTAAAGAAACGCGTTTTTTACCAAAAGGGGTAAATGGGGCAAGGAAAATTAGTTATATATTAATCTACACACTTTTGTTAATAACTTGTCATTTATTACAATTGTTAGGTTCTATCAAATACTCTACATAAAAAACCGAAAAACATTGCACAATTGGACAACAAAACATAATAACATAACATAAAGGGCCGTCAAATAATAATTTTTCATATTTGGGCTAATGCTTTCCACAATAACACTTTTTAAATGTTTAAACTTTTCAAACTACAAGCACTTAAAATTAAGTGTTATCTCCTCTAAAATCTTCTAAGAGAATGTGAATTTCAATCAGCTCACTTTGAAAGCACTCTAGTGAAAAAAGTATTGCCACGAGGACTTAATTTGAATAAGTTTTTTTTTAGTAATTGGGATATTTAGATTTAGGAAATAGGTAAAAATTTTAAAATACAAAACAAAAAAAAATTAACTTTATGCCAAAAATATGAACATTATACCCATAGTGGATTGGAGCATTTTTACATTTCGGCAGTCACAGAGTGCTGTTGTTTGGAAATTTTTTATTGAGCTGAACTCATTCTCGATACCAATTTCTATACAATACCACTCGGTATGTACAAATCTGTGAGAGTTTCATTTTTTGTATATCTCTAGAACACTTGCTTAGGGGATAGTCGCAAGCTAACATTTTTGATGCAAACAAATATCCAATTCTAACCGGTCAAATTTTTACAGGTGAGGGTACTTGTGCTTTTCGGAAAATTGGCCGCCTTGTTGCTGCAATCTACTTACAGGGACATACCGTTTTACTCCGCCTCCGAACGGCGGTTGTATTTTTATGAGAAGCTGTTTTTCATGGCAGAAATACACTCGGAGGTTTGCCATTGTCTGCCGAGGGACGACCGCTGTTAAGAAAAAACTTTTTTTTTTATTTTTGCGATGTTGCTTTCACCAGGGTTTGAACCCAGGTGCTGCGGAATGGAAGCGCGCACTGCTTACCACTACACCACAGCGGCCTTCAGCTTACTTCACATTAAAACAAATGTAGGTGTAGGTTTCAATGCATTACTGGAATCAAAACGGTTATGAACGGAGGCTTCTCTGGCTCTCATGCCTACATATTAGACTGCATCACTCCCATCAGTGTTGCCAGAACTTTTTGGACGAACCGGCTAAATTGGCAAATAAAACCGGCTAAAAACTGCTAAAATGTTTCAACTAAATTTTACATGTTTTATTTAAATAAATCACGAGTAAAAACGCTATTTCTTGGAGAGAAGTTACAAATTCGAGCCGGAAAAAAATTCTGCCAACAAGAATTTGCAATTAGGAAAAACATATGATTGTGGCACGTGGTTGGTTTTTTTGTCGACGATAATTTGAATAAACAAGTTCGTTAAATTTCTTTTGTTTGAAATGCAACCGTGGACAGTAGTTGGCAGAAAAACTTGCAAATTTACGTTCCTACAGAAATTTGCAAGTTACTCTACATGAGAGAGAATTTGGGAGCATTTTTTCTTACTATCTGATATCTTGAGTGATAATTCTCGCTGGATTTTCGACGAACAAGCCTATTGTCTTCCCTAGAAGGCCTTTTCAGACTGACCGATTCTCAATACATTCAAATAGAAACCAGTACACATAAAAGACGCTGTAAAAATTTTCCTTCAATTTTAAGGCAAACAACGACCCTAAGTTAACATCAACCGAGGCCATATGTTGACAAGGGATGCAAAATCACAGTTACACAAAAGAACTGGTCAGATTTTTCAGAAATCCCTTCAATTCTGATGTAAAATATGATGCCAAAAGACTGCAGATCACCCATTTAGATGACCGGTCATATGACCGGCAGATATCTCGTAGGATTCCCAGAGAGTTTTGCTTTACATAGAAATTTGTGCTCTTTTATTTTGACTTTGACTCACTTCAGTGTGGGTTCCTTTAATTCAAGTTAGCATTCGTTTTTTTTGAATTTAAATAAGTTCTCAGCAATAAAGTTTGTTTAAAAACATTCATATGTGTACATAGTGCTTGAAAATATCAATTTTTCCCTTATCTTAAATCTTTGGGAGTGGGCAAAAATGATGTTTTGTAATTTAGGCAGAATTGAATATGCGCTATCTGGGAAGACAATATCTACATGTAATATTTATTCTGTTTGTTGGCACTATATCCAAACACAAACGCATCTTAAGTGTCTTAGCAGTGAAACAATTTCTTATTTTCTAAGTTTGCGAATAAAACTTCAAACTTAAAATTAAGACATTTATAACAAACATTTTATGAAGAAAATCCCTTCTTCGTTTAAAATAAAAATAAGTGAAATCGGTCCAATTTCATACAACCCTGCCTGACATGAAAATTTTTTCCACGATTAAGCTAGTAGCCGTTTCTAACAGATTTTGGGTCGCTTAGTCAAAATTGGAAACATATATACATATTTGAAATTTAAGAAAACAAGGCAAATAGCAAATCGGCTAAAACCGGCTAATTTTTTTCTGCAAAACGGCTAACAAATCGGCTGCCGGCTAAATCGAAATTTCTCCGGCTGTTTGCTATCGCAATTGGCTAAATCTAGCCGGAAAACGGCTAAAATGGCAACATTGCTCCCCATACAAGAAAAAATCGGTACTGTTTTTCCATTGGAGTTATAAAATCTATTATATTTTAAGACGTCCACCAAAATATTACGGAAAAATATTAAGATTTAAGCGAGCTGGACCGATTTGAAAATACCTCCAAAAATGTAGTTTTTTATGAATAAAAATAGTTTCTTAAAGACGTTTTTTAAAAAAGTCCCCTCAAACTACAAAACGGTTTAAGCTTAAAAAACGTGCATAAAAATAAAAACAAATATATATAAAAAAATTTTCATCCGAATCGTATTAATGAGTTTTTTAATGCTGTTTTTTAACTTTTTTCAAAGATTGGTATAAGAAAAACTTAAATAACTTAACTCTTCCGATTTAGACTAGTGAGGTATCATTGGAAAGGTATTTTCTCACCCTTTTTATTTCTTTGCTAATAAGCTCATTCAAAGGATGAAAGAGAAAGGTAGGATGAACGAAAATCATTCAAAGTTGAATTAAGATGTGTTGGTATTCGAAAAAAAAAATTTAGACACGAATGACTTTTTTTGCACATAAATAAAAATAGTGGGAAAATACCTTTTTACCGAGATCCCATAAGTCTAAATAGTTTTGGGCCAGTTATTTAAGTTTTTCGTAAATCAATCTTTGATAAAAGTAAAAAAACAGCATCAAAAATCTCATTATTACGATTCCGTTGAAAAGATTTTTAAATATTTTCATGCAGATTTTTTAAGCCCAATCTGTTTTGTCACCTGAGGGGACTTTTTTCAAAAAGTTCTTTAAGAAACTATTTTTATTCATAAAAAATTCCGTTTTGGGAGGTATTTCCAAATCGGTCCAGCTCGCTTAAATCTTAATATTTTACTGAAATATTTTGGTGGACGTCTTAAAATACAATACATTTTGTAATTCCGGCGGAAAAACGGCAAATTTTTTTTTTGGTGATGCAGTCTACTATCTACATATGTACATTTGTATGTTCACAAATCACAATGTTATACATACATATGTATACGGACTTGTTTGTTCGATTGTTTCGTATTTTTTTGTTCCGAAAAAATCGTCAGAACAAAAGTTCGTTAGAATGCGCATATATAGTAACCGTAGCCTTAGAAGTATACAAATGAAAAAAAAAAAATTGTTGTGAATATATTTTATTTTATTTAATTGCAAAATATTAATACTTAGCAATAGAGAAGCAGATCCACATTAACTTCAATCATACTTATGTACCATCAGTTTTTAAATAGATATATGCCATGACGTGTATCAGTACTTCGATTCATATTTATTTCCTTTCATACTGCAGAAATTCGTATTACCTTTTAACCGACTTCACTAAAAGGAGAAGGTTATCAATTCGTCGGAATAAATATTTTTGTATGTATGTTACCGCATAACTTTGGACCACGTCAAACCGCTTTCTATAATTATTTTTTTTTAAAGGAAGGGTATTACCTCACAGGTAGTCCCATACATAAATTAACGACATAAATGTTATAAATGCTTAAAGTAGATATCTCCTAATACTCCTGTTTGACGCCAATATTTCAATATATCAAATAATTTAATTTAATTCGACTTTTCAAACAGATGGCAACCCTGTTCAAATTATTTTTAAACCAAAACCTCATTAAATATTTTTCGTCTGACACTTGTATTTTGATACATATTTAAATTATCTAATACTCTCAATTCAAATTGAATTTTAATATAAAATCAAGTGGCAACCCTCCTACATGCAGTTTGGAAATAAAGTTTATTCCAAGCAATTTTGATTTATATTCATGTTGAAGTAATTTATTCAACATATTGCTTATATTCAATCTAACTTTTTAATAAGGTGGCAACCCGCTGCAAAATATTTTTAAGCATCCATATCAGGATACGCATTTAAATTTTTTGTCTTTATTTAAGTCGAACTTGCTTTTAGACACAGGTGCCAACCCTCTTACATATAATTAAGAAATAAAGCCTTTTCAAAACCGTTTCCATCGGTACTCGTAGTGTAATAATTGATTTAAATTAAAAATAATTTTAATATATTTTTAACCGACTTCCAAAAAAGGAGGACGTTATCAGTTCGTCGGAATATTTTTTATTTTAACCGATTTCGATAATTCTTTTTTCATCAGAAAGGTGGTACCTCAGCGCCAAATATGTACATACATACATATGTACAACGCAATAATCTAATCTACCGCCTTATTGAAAAGTAGCGCTTTAGTTTATTTTTAGCTCTGCGATTAAAGTACCCGACTTAGCATACATAGTGTGAATTGCGCCCAAGTGTTCAGAGACTACATACATATGTATATATTGTTTGCGAATTAAGCGTCCGACGACTAGGGCGAATGTTTCATTCTTCTCAGTTGCATTTTAAACCGTGACACTTTCAAAAGCAATGAAGCGCACAACGTTTGCTTATATTATATTCTTGTTTACATTTTGCATGCCTGTAAGTATACATACCTACTGGTACATATGTATATGCATTGTTATTGTACCTAAATACATATATGTAAATAACTTAATTAAATATTGCTTATAATTTCCAAAATGTATGGGC